TTTGGTTCAAAAACCAAACCTTTTGGCTCTGATACAACTATTGTAATAGGGTTAGAATCCATTAGATGAATAGCCGAACCATGCAAAGTGGCTGGCCGAATTTCAAAAATTTTGCTTTCTCGGGAACCAACTTCCTAGTAAATTGAAATTTGAAATTTCAAGATCGTTCTTGTATTAAACCAGACCATATTTAAAACCAAAGAGAAGGGAGATTATACCTGATATGGAGACCACAAATCGCAGCTCCCAAGGTGTTAATTCACACCCAATATCATATCTGAAACCGTTTTCCAACTGAAGAGGGCATAGTGTATAGAGAACCGACTCAACAACACTTGTTTTCAGCAAATATGCTATCCAACTTGTTTAGATCAAGTGGAGTGATTGAGTCTGAAATTCTTTTGAGTTTTTCTTGCAAAATCAAAGAAAAAAAACTGATCAAGATCAGTTCTTGAAAGCCTAGGTCATTCTAGGGTTTCTTGGGAGACAAGAGAGAAAAAGAGAGAACAAGAGAGAGAGGTGTCCAAATCTAGTTCGCCCTCTTCTTTTATCTCATTATGGAGCACTCTCCTATTCTAATTAGGAAATTACCCAAATCTGATTTGAATGTGGACTCTATTAAGAGATAAACCTTATCATCTTAAGAAGATAGGTACTCCATACCCAATACTAAACCCAGACTTGACCCAAATCAAGTTGTCTTGTGACAAATTAATAAATCTTATTAATATTGGGCCTTTGGCCCATTTTCTTCAAAGGTCCATGACCCTATGTAGGCCTGATATCGTATGACATGGGACCCACAAAAGTATCTCTTAAGTCCATAAGGGTTTGGCCCAACCTCTATAAGAGGCTTGACCGAATTCACTGCTCAGAGCAATGAACCCCTAAGCTAATCAGCATGGACTTAATCTAGGTCCAATATTTACACCTAAAGCCCATTAGGTAGTCATCCCTATATGTCTCTTATACTTAACCTCTCGGCCCATATGATAAAAAAAACCACCCAATAGGGAATGACCTCTCCCCTGGCCGCAAGGTATAATGCCACACTCTCTCCTCAGATGGATCCCAGAATTAAAACCTTTTGTAAACATTTTTCATAAAATAGTAGTATATAACATATAAATACATATTACAAAAACATGTTTCAAATACAAATGAAATCCAGTACTAGCAATTTAGGTTTCCATCAAAGAGAGTGTAAACCTTGATATTCACTTTGTTTGACAAAGGGCCAATCCTATCACTATGATCACCCACTTAAGTGAATTCTCAAACTGCCCCAACATGCCCAGGTGTTGATCCTTGATAGATCTCACTGATTAGCACATCAAAGACAGCCTAGTCCAACACCGAATGCAGTACTATCATCAAGTCTGGGGTTATGTGTATCTTTCCAATTTTACCCATCTATATCTAAGGACTAGGGCATAACTGAAAATCGGTCCGGGTTCAGTGTTTCTTCCAAACACACCCTACCTATGCTTAGGGTCTAACGCTAACAGCTAAGACAAATTGCTCCAATTGGTTTGCAGCACACAAACGTCAGCCTTGGCAAGATAAACTCCCCAAGTCTATCCAATGGCTAAGAAAATTCTAAATTAACATGAATCTCATAAGTGTCCAGTTTAAGGGGTAATCCATAGAAAACATACCAATATCTACATGAAACAACAATAGATTTTATTCATTTACAATTAAATATTCATGTACATCAGTCTGATTAGAGCTAAGGGCATATACTATCTAACACTTCAATGGTAAGCATGGAAGATTGGGACCATTCCAAAAAATTTGTTCCACCAAAGCTTTTCAATGATTATCATATGACTAGAAGTATCCGCATTTCCTAGAAGCACACTAAGGGTCACCTGAATGTCCTTGGAAGACTCTATACCTCGTCAAAAGTCAATTAGGAGGCAAATAATAATCTAAAATCTAGTTGGCAACAATATAGGAAAAAAATCTCCTAAAAATTTTCTAAGTTTTACAAAAACGTGGGACCATTTTTTGCCATCCTAGAAAAGCAAAACAACTTAACAAGTCTAGGTTAAGTGAAAAACTCATCTAATTCATAGAAAAGCCTTCATTATAAAATCCAATTTTTTTACCAATTTTTGCTTGTAAAAATCATAATAAATTACAACAACTTCAAATGGATATGAGATTTGTACCAAAAAAATCCCTAAAATCAAGGTGATTCAAAGTATACTAGATTCAATGGTTGTCACTACAACCTATGCAAACAATTGACATCACTCAGTAGCAATCTAACATCAACAGGTAACCTTTGAAGTGGAGAAAAGCTGCAAATGTCATCCCAAAGATCTAAGAGATGCTTTGGTACCAAGTTGTTAGACTGAAGAAGAAGAAGAAGAAGAAGTTATAAATGGTGTATCTTGTTACTATTCACACCCTAAACAATAAATTTATACTTATGGAGAAAAGTACAAGATTGCACTTACATAGGTGCCCAAACATAATTTAAGCCAAATTTCTCTTTTAAATAACATTTCTTTCTTTCTCAACACCATTAACTGTTCTACATTCCCTAACAAATTATAGCTTAATTTGTTTTTCTTAAACTTTTATAAATTAATATGCAAAAGGTTGTAAGGAGAGAACTAATGAGGTATAAGAGAGCATGAAAGACGGGATGAGAGTGATGGTTAGGGTGAAATAGACAAGATAGGAGGGAGACTGAGAGAGAGAAGCAAAAAGTTCTTGAAAAAATATGTTCTGTTAATTGTAAATCAGTTACCTCACTCTACAAATGAACCATTCCATATCAATACACAGAAAGTTGAACCTTATAAAAAAAGTTTTATAGTTTCTTCCTTTAAACGAATTATGATTCATTTGCCACCCAAGAACATACCTTGTCCATCATTTATGACGTTCTACAAAAAATGCTTATCTCCTTATATGTGCTTCCTTTGTAAAGAAAATGATGAAACTATCCCCCATTTAGTAATCTCTTGCCCTCCATTCACTTTTTTTAGAAGTACTTGTTCTTTCTTTGGGTGTAGGTGGGCTCCCCCTCAAGACATGGTAAATAAGCCTCTTTAGCTCAAACCCTTTTAGACAACCAAAGAAAAGAGGGAGAGTTACTATGTGGAAGGCAATTAGGACAACATTGGTGATGACTATTTGGAAAGAAACAAATGGAAGAATCTTCAATGGAAAATGTAGATCCAAGAATGAATTTAACGCTTCTCATTGAATGATATTATAAGAACTTGGGCTAAGGTGGCACAATCTTCTAAGGTAAAAGACATGTTAGTAATGGAGTGGTAACCTCTACCACGCAAAACAACAAAGCTGAATGGGAGTTCTATGGGTCCAAGGTCAATGGGTATAGTGGGTTTATTTAGAGACTCCTTGGGAACAGTTGTGGCTAGGTACTGAAGACCTTTTGTAGTCGGTGATTATATAATAAAATCTGAATTGATGGCCTTATTACAAAGCCTTATATTAGCCAAGCAATCTAAATTTTTCTTATTGGAAGTAAAGGGGGCTCAAAAAAATTGATTATCACTTAGGCAAAAGGCATATGCAAAGTCCCTTGGACACATGCATGTTTTCATGTAAATTAAATGTCCATCAAGGTAGTTAAACACCTGCTACAATTGGGTTAGAAGAACTTTAAACAAGTCACTGGATTCATTAGCAAAACAAAAGGTTAATAGACATCATTTGTTTTTGGCCTTAGTTTGAATGTTATGTATATTGGATTATTAGACATTATTTGATTTTACTAAACTTTTTCATATAATTATTGAAATCTTTCTCCTTTTCTAATCAAAAAAGAAAATCTGACCATACCTCTCCCTCCACGCTTCCTAAAAAATAGCTTCCAAGATAATACTCAAAGCCACTCTGCAACCTCTACTAAGCCTTTTAGATCCCAAGATTCTAGCAAATAGTTAATATTCTCTTCTATTGTACATCTATACTACTTTTTTGTTTATAAAATAAAAAAAATATTTTCAAGTATTAGATATCTTGAATAGCAAGAATCTCTTCCTATTATTGCCCTATTACAACCATTCCCTTCTTAACCAACCTTACAAACAAAATTTGGACGTTTTGGGGAGTTGGAGTGAAGATGTGAAATGTGATTATGAAGTAGAGGAGAATGAAAATTGATATGATTCAATTTCAATTTATGAAGTTTGCAAGATTGATAAAAGAAAGTTAATAAATGTGGTTGAAAGAGAAGTTGAGATTGACAAGAACTTATGTTTGTTTTTTCTAGGTGCGGAAGAATATGTTAGAAAAAGTGATTTTAGAATTACAGGAGAAAGAAGAGCTTGTCTTAAATCTCATATTGAGAGTCTGAAAGGTAACCTAGAGAAAGTATGAGTGAGAAGTTGAAATAGTGCAAATGAAATTTTAGAAAAGTTATAAGGAAAAACAAAAAGTAAAAGTAAAAGTTGGACACACAATCTTGCCAAAATCTCTACAAAGCTCCCGTAAGTTTTGTGGAGCATTGATCATATTATTTATTTAACAAAACCAAATATTTATAAGTTTTAATTTATATCCAATTTTTCTTTTGTGTTTTTACTAGAATTTCTAAGATCTTTGCCCAAAACCTTAGAGGTTGTTTGATAATAGTTGAGGTAATTGAACTATCGCTTTGTCTTTTAGTTAATAGGTTATTAAGGAGGCTACAACTGAAGCTGAAATTGGGTTGATGACAATATTCTTGAATATCTTATTATTTTATTATTTTATTCACAAAAGACAAAACAATAAGTTATTTGGTCCATCCATTTTACCCATATTATGAAAAAGCTCCTTAGAAAGTCCAATTTTTGAAATATATGAGAGGTTTTATAGTACAACCTCAATGGGTCCAAACTTATAACCATGTGATCAGATCTAGCTATCTAGGTTTGTTGTTTTACCTTGTGTTTTTTAACTTTAAAGCTAGAGTTTCATGTATCACATCAAAAATGTATGCATTGATGTGCTAATAAAATACCTTGCAGGGATCTCTCTTTCAATAGTTTATCTGGAAACTTGCCTCAAAGTTTTGAAACTCTTTCTAGCCTTTCTACATTGTGAGCATCTAATTTCAATTACTTTTTCTATTAGTAACACTAAATTATTGAATTATGTATATAAAGAATAATATACATCAATATGCCAAGCACCCCATACAAGGATCAATGATCAAATTTCAACTCTTCAATGTGCTGAATTTTCTAACTCTTAGAGTTTGTGTTCTACAGATATTTGCAGAATAACAAATTTACAGGTTCAATTAATGTTTTAACACATCTTCCTATTGATGACCTGTAAGTTTCTCATAAGCTTAAATGCATAATATATTTAGTTGTTACTTTACTTATGTCATTTTATTATTGTAGTTTTTATTAAATAAGAATTTGAAGATATTGGAAAAAGCAAAATGTGAAGTAGTAATTTGATCACCCATTAAAATATTTTTAAAACCAGTGTAAATAAAAGCAACACATCAACTTAGACAATTATTGTTCAAAATAGAAAATCAACATTTCTACTTAAATCTAAGGTCTAATGTTTCCTTCCTCAATCTTTATTTCTTTACAAATTTAATAAATAGTTATTTAATAATGACTATTAATTCACTCTTATTATTTTCTTAAAGTTTATTCTTTTGAAATTCATTTTAATTTATTTTTGTTAGTGCTAGCCTAATTTAAAGTATCATTTAATATACTGAAAAATTCTTACACTTAAACTTCCTTTTTTGTTGACAGTAATGTTGCAAACAACCAATTCACTGGTTGGATCCCTTCTGAGTTGAAGAACATAGATAATATCAAGTAAGTATTCCTTCATAATAATTGATTGGATAATTTTTCTAAAACATGATTTTTTTACTTTCATTATTAAATAAAAAAATTATGATAAATTTTTATATCAATAATTAACTAAAAACTATCATAATATTTTGTTTACCACATTAATTGATAAAAGCTTTTAACATGCATTTTTATTTTCAATTGATTAAAATTTTTAATATAAAATTTTATTTTTTTTTTATTATTCAAACAAGTTTTTATTAGTAACCCATTAAATTGATTATGTTTTAAAGATAAATTGTTTTTGTTAATAATCATAACTAATTTAAAAGAATTAAGATAATAAGATTTTAATTTGTAATTGATTAAAGGTTTTTAAAATAAATTTTCTACATTAATTGATTGAAAAAGAAATATGATAAGTTTCTTTTATCAAATTAATAAGAAATTATTTAATTGCTCATACTTTATAATGGATGTGACAATAAATACAATGAAATAGTGAAATAGGATTTGCTTAGGTTGACCATATATAATTGGGATAAAACATTGATAAAGGTGGCTCTTTATCAATAGCTATTTGGAACATAAGATAACATTTTTATTAGTAACTAATTAAAATATTTTTACAAATAATTGATTAACAAATATTTTAAGGTATGATTGTACAAATAATTATTTGAATAGTTTTAAGATAAATTTTTATCAATAATTAATTAAATTATTTTAATAATGATTCAATAATTATTATGTTAAAACATTGATTTTTTTAATGAGACATATATAGTGGTTTTTATAATCATTGGCTAATGGGCACTATACTTGTATTTTTTTGCTAGAACTGGAGGAAATCAATGGTCAAGTGAACCCGCTCCACCTCCACCTTTAGGTACATTTGGTGCTGCCCAGCAAAAAAATCCCACTAAAAAATCTTCTAAAGAAGAAAAAGGTTCAAAAAAATCCGTTCTGAATGGAGCACTTATAGGGGGGATAGTGATTGGCCTGTTACTGGCACTTGTGATTTTAATTGTTTTATTGAAACGAAAATCTTCTTCTACTTCTTCTCATTTTCTTGATGAAGAGAAGATGAATCAGAAAATATCATTGAACCCCTTGGTATCAAATGAACTATCTAATGACAGATCAAGCGAGTTCTCCAATAATGCACTTAAGGACTTTAAAGGTAGTTTTCCCACATCTATAAGCATAAAAGTTTTTTTTTCCTTTTATAATGAGTATTGTACATTTATATTTGTGATACTAGTAACTGTATAGGTACAAATACTTGTAAATTATGAGAAATTCTGAGTTTATAAGTCTATATTGCATCGCAACTAACTAAATGTTAATCCACTACAGATCCAAAGTCATTGGATTCATCTTTTTCAATCAATGCTAGGTCTTCGCAGCCATATGCTTCAATTGGTCTCAAGCCTCCACCTGCTGATCGAATGAAATCATTTAATGACACTGAGCTTGTAAATAGAATAAATGTCAAAAGAAACTCATCAATTCATGCTGTAATTTATACCTTGGCAGATCTACAGTCTGCAACTGGTAACTTTGCAACTGCTCGCCTTTTGGGTGAGGGATCAATAGGACGTGTTTACAGAGCAAAATATCCAAATGGGAAGGTATTAATTATTATTTAATGCTTCTTTCCAATTAATTATATGAAAATACTTGTTCATGAATCATGGCATTTATTTACTTGTCATTTTTATAAGCACATTTATATAATTGTCCCATGTATATTTTAAACACTATACACTTTTTATTGTAATATACATGATTCATGACTTTTATTCGGGTGTAATTTAAGTTTTACATCACTTTATATATTTGTAACCATTTTCTTCCTTTTATGGTTTTTTTTATATCCTCGCTAATTGACTTTTACACTTTTTGGAGGATATCACTCTCTAGTTATGCAAATTAATAATTTACCTCAATTTCAATATTATAAGTATATAAAAAGGCAAAACTATGATATTTTCTTAATTGAATAGTCTAGATACTCATTAGGCCATGATAATCATTATTATTTCTTGAAAACATGACTATACCTTTAAGTTGGTTCAATTTCTCAATTATAAGTATATAAATTGACAAAAGTATGCTATTTCCTTGATTGAATAGTCTAGATACTCATTAAGCCATGAGAATAATTATTGTTATTTGAACATAACTATAAACCTCTACATAGGAAATGTTATATTAGAATTAGACCCCTAAGTTGGTTCAATTTCTCAATTATAAGTATATAAATTGACAAAAGTATGCTATTTCCTTGATTGAATAGTCTAGATAGTCATTAGGCCATTAGAGTAATTATTGTTACTTGAACATAACTATAAACCTCTACATAGGAAATGTTATATTAGAATTAGATGTAGTTTCATGATTAGATAATAATTAAAGTAAATTATATTAAATTATAATTATCCAGAGATAAAATAAATGTCATGAAATTATTTGCATAAGGTCCATATCCATGGCTTTAGATTTTCAATCCATGTTAAGCCTCACTCCTATAGCATCAACTAACTATAAAAGCTAGGATGGGACCTTAGACCTAATCTATTCCATCGCATTTTCAATGATTAGTTCCCTTGGAATGGATATTTAAAAAACAAACCTCTTTATATTAGGTGATGAGGGTGGATTTGGCCCTCCAATAACATCATGACACATGGCCACCGTCTGTGGGAAGATATCTCTAATGCACAACTATAAAAGCTATGATGACTCTGTGAGAATGGATATGAGATCATCCTAGTGAGCCTAAGGGTGCCGAGGGTGCCGTGTAGCGAGCTGGAAGATGACTTGGACCTTAGTCGTGTAGCGAGTTAGACCAAGCTGCAAGACAGAGGATTAGAGAACTCGGAGTGGCTAACCCGACAAGGTCGCTCTGATGCTTAAGTCAGTACTGGGTTGTGCGAGCTAAAAGTTTGTATGCTAGTAAGCTAGTAAGCAAATAATCACGTGTACCATGTGTCATTGGGGTTGGTGCCTTTATATAGGCATTGTTTGGTGTAGGATTCGTGCACCAAATCCGAGATTTCTGAGAGGTCGTGCCTTACCGGTCCAAAATCCTCAGAAGTAACCGCTATGCACGTTGACCATCCTCTAGAACATTCGGTATGCGGGCCAACTTCAGAGAAACCTAGGAGTGTTGGGGTATGCATGCGGAATTTTTCGACGAGCACATCTCGCAGGTCACCACTTGGTCCTCAGTTAGGTCGGCAAGCCCTCGAGAAAGGTCGTGCCTCGCGTCGAGGTCACTTCGGCCGGTGATGAGGTGCTACAGGTCGGCCCTGGACGAGGTGCTGCAAGCCGACCTAAGTTGTGGTCGAGGTCGCCAAGTCAGCGATAAAGGCAGGTCGCCAGGTCGGGGCGAAGACGAACTACGATCTGGGATTCCAAANTCACTTCGGCCGGTGACGAGTTGTTACTAGTCGGCCTTGGACGAGGTGTTGCAAGCCGACCTCAAGCCGGCATTTTGGGTTCACGTCTGCACTACATTAGCCTCATAGTGACGCCGGCCATCCACTCCTACAAGAAGCCACTAGAATCTCGACCTGTGGGGGCAGCACTACTGACTTTAGGTCACCAGGTCACACGAGAGCCTTAGAAGGCTTGATCTGCAAGGGTGTCCATGCAGTCCGTTGGCCGTCGGCTCCTGTGGGAGCCACGAAGAGCTTGACTTGTAGAGGCGACCTCGCGAAACGGGACTGATGAGGCCTTGTCCTGGCTGATTACTATTGAGGATGAGTTCAGGTCGTTTTCCTGCTATCTACATCGGGCTTCTCCCATGCTTAGATATGGAAATTCATGTTTCATCTCATAGAATTTCCATGCTTCAATCCCGGCGGGAACTGTTGATAGCTCTATCGTGGGGAGAGGGGCGTTCACATGCGGTAGCGGTATATTTATCTGGGGCACCGAGAATGCTGGGTTTGCCCCCTGGTGGTGTTCATCTCAATGCTTTTCCCGGTGTGATTGAAGGATGCCATTGAAGTTGAAGTTGCAAAGAGGTAGGAATGACCTTTTGATCGTTTCCCACAAACGACACCAATTGATGTTGTGCGATCTGACTACTCCTTGTTGGAGGATGATCTGGCTTCCAATTGAGTAGCGAGCTAGATGAATCTGCAAGTAAGTGGATCAGAGAATCTGGGTGACTAACCCGGCGAAATCGTTCAGATGCTTAAATTAGGTCATCTTCTAGCTAGGAGCTTCCAGATCGCACCTAGGAATAATTATTTAGGTAATTATTCATATCTTTAAGTGGCATCTAAGTTATGTCAAAGTTGGAATTACTCTTCATTATGTTATGACTTTTAACGCTTTGTCACATAATGATTATACTTTAAACCATGAAAATTAACCTTTGTGTCTAATTATAATTTAAGAGTTTCACTTCAAATTTAATAAAATTCATATGAATGGACAATGTATGCTGGGAACCAAGAAAAAAATGAAAAAGAAAAATGGCATATCTTTAATTTGGAGCTTTTCTTGAGAAAATAGGTAGTTTGGAGTCTTTCTTTCTAAAGGACCTTTTAAACTTCGTTGGAATTGTATAGCATCAAAAGTAAGGCATCAGCATAAGAATTTCATGGGAGAAGTTGAAGAAGAATAAATTCAAGGTTGCTACTCTTTTTTTGTGCTTGCAATCTTGTAGTTAATTATATTTTGAATGTCAATTGTAGGCAAATACAAGTATAGCAGACTTATACTCCACTGAAAAAAATATATATATGTAAACTTAAACAAATGTCATTTCATTTAATTGTGTCATGAAGATTTTTTCCACTTTAACTGGGTCTTTGTTTCTCAGGTTCTTGCCGTAAAAAAGATAGACTCTTCACATCTTCAAGGCATAAGTCAAGAAGATCTTATGGAAATAATTTCAAATATCTCGAAAATGGACCATACAAATATTACTGAACTTGTTGGTTATTGTTCAGAACAGGGTCATAATCTTCTTGTCTATGAGTATTTTAGGAATGGATCACTCCATGAATTTCTACATCTGTCAGATGAATACAGTAAGCCACTTACATGGAACACTCGGGTCAGAATTGCTCTAGGAACAGCTCGAGCAATAGAGTAAGTCATTCTTTGCTGCTATGTTTTTGTTTGACAAGTCATTTTCTCTCATGGCCTGTGGGAAAAGATATAAATGGGTCAATTTCATTAGTTGGATTTGCTTTTCGATTTGGTGCACCTTCAGGTGTGATATATTGAGTAGTGGATCTGATCTCTATAATTTGATCACATGTCATCACAAGGGGGATGTATTCCTGTTTATTTTTTGTCATTGTTAAGGATTGGATTTGGTGTTTGTAACTCAGCCTAAATACCCATTTGGGGTGTCTCAACCAGCAATGTTAGATAGTCTATACATAGTCTCTTCTAGAATAATTTCTAGCTAGTTTTCTTTTAGTGCTAAGAACTAAGACTAATAGGATAATCATACTTGATTTAGATAAAATATTGTGATAACACAATTGCAAACTTGCTCTCTACCTATCAATCTATCTATCTATTCATTTGTCAATATATACTATCTATCTATTTAAGAAGATGCAATCATACTATTACAAAGTCATGACTTTGACTATAGATTTACTTGCTCCATATTTTTCACACATGTTGGTGTTTACTGTGTTTTTCTCCGCATTGAATTGGTTTAGTCATTACATCACCTTAATAAACATGTAAATGACTGTCAGAAAATGGCTCACTTGGGCTGAATTGGAGTCACCACCCATCAATTAAGGAAATGAAGGTGATGCCACCTTTAAGAATAGCATCAAGAATCGCTTTGCATTTATAGTAACTCCAAAGCCCAAGACATTGATTACACCAATCCGGGTAAGATTTGGATTGGAGTAGGAAGAGGTTAGGCACCCCTTTCCCAGGTCCAATTGGGTGGGGTCCACATGGTATCTCTAACAAACAAGCATAAATGAGAATAAAACACAAGAATAAATCATCATAAAAATAAATCCTCCCTAATTATTTATTATTTTAGTTTTTTTAAGAGGATGTATTCATAGGTTGCGACATGCCCCACTTACTCTGAGCTACAAAAACTGAACATCTCACACTACTCAACCATCTACTATTCTATTCCTGTTCATAAGCGGCATTAGAATCATATAGACATTACTAATTGAAGGTAGGGAACATGTATTGCGGTAAAACAAGTCTTAATCACAACATCAAATCAAATCCAATTATTAGAACAAGAGAAAAGAATAAATTGATATATCATAATTTTAACATTCAATGAACACCCTATCATAGAGAAATCTAAGCTTCAATCCATAGAATAACTGAAGAGGAAAATTAACAATATTATCAATATCATTTCATTAAGCTGGAAAGAATACTACAATCTTTAGAAACAGAAAAGAATTGATTCTATTTCCAAAACAGTCGCTTGATTCAACTAAAATTTTGCACAACTATCTAAATCCTATGAAAGAAAGAAAGAGGACTAGTGGATTTGGGTTGGTACTAAGAGTTTACAAGAGTTGAATTAGCTCGGTCTCTCTCCTCCCAACTACAGATACGGAGAAAGCCAAGTAAAACAAGAAAAGAAATAAGATCCATATGCAAAGAAAGCAAGAATGGGCCTTACATAGTTGGAATATAACCTGATATCAAGATTGAATACTATAAACAGGAGGGTGACAAGAAGAAATGATCATTGGAATCACCTCTAGTATGACTCTTTGCCTGAAATCATATAATGAACAGAGTTGGGTTCCTATCGCTCTTGATTTCTTCCTTCGAGCTACTACAACAATCGTCTAGGGCTAGGAACTTGGTGAGATGAAACAATGTCTTCAACGTAAACTTCGCATGACACTGGGAAGGCAGGTAATAACTGCTTCCTTGATTTCTACTAAACCGATGAAGAGGACTAAGAACAAGGCGTTGTCAGATGGTTGGAAGAGTTGGAAAACTATGGTATGTTAAAGGGAAACGATGGGGGACTAGAATGGAATTGGGTATCGGCCAGTTTTCTGCCTGACAATGGGTTAACAAAATGAATAATACAGAGGGGATTGTTATTGCAATTCCTTTGTTGCTCATTGAGAGTGATGGATAATGATGAGAAAAGAGGAAAGGGTGTGTGTGTGAGAGAGAGAGAGAGAGAGAGAACAATGAAAGAAAGAGAGGGGGAGAGAGAAATAAGAGGGAAAAAGTGGGAGAGGCTAGAGGAGAGAAAAAGTTATCGTCGTCGCTGGTTAAGTTCAGTCATAGGGAAGACGAAGATGAATGGTATTCTCATGTGATTAAATGAAGAAGAAGATGAAGATGATGATGATGAATAGTATTCTCAGGTGATTAAAAGAGAGAAGAAGTTATCGTCGTCGCTGGTTAAGTTCAGTCATAGGGAAGATGAAGATGAATAGTATTCTCAGGTGATTAAAAGAAGAAGCCTGGAAAGAAAAAGAGAAAGAGAGAGAAGAAGGGAGAGAGAGAGGGGGGAGATCAGATGTAAAGAAAATCCGCTACCACAACTCTGGTGTTTATTCAAATGGGGAAGAAGATGAATGGTAAATTTAGAGATTCGGCGATTGTTAGGATTCAAATAATGTAAGTTTAAATTTATAGGGAGGGGGAGTGGCATATTTGTAATTTTGGACTTTTGAGGGGTAATTTGGTAATTTCAAAAAAAACATGGGTAATATGGTCCAGACGGATCCAGGAAGTCAAACCAGGGTTCTGGTTCATTGATAAGGGGGTTTTGGTTTAATTACCAAAGGGTTGAGATGGGTTCTAAGTACAGATAAGGGTTTTACATTTGCGGGCTAGCAAGACTAACCAAAACGGAATCTGTTTGGATGGATATGTAAACAGGGGTATTTTGATAGGGTGTGGTTTTTTGACATTCTAAATTGATTGGTGAAGTTAGATTGGGCCAATTGAACCCAAATCGGGCAGATTTGGAAATGGGCTTGATTTGATTGATCTAGAATCTCGAAATGGGAACTTTGTGCGATTGAGGGGCAAACAAGGATATTTGTTGTCAAAACTTCATAGGGTAGGGTTTCTGAGATTTGGTTATAATGTCTGATTGGTTTCAAGAGAATTAAGATCATAGGAATTTGGGTCAACGATAGGATACAAAACTGAAATTTATAGGTGGGTATTTTAGAGTATCTGGGATCTAGTGGTAATGTCTGATTGGTTCAAGAGGGGTCAAGTTCGTACGAATTTGGGTCGACGAGAAGATTCGAAATAGAATCTTGGTTTGATAGAGGGGTAAACAGGAGAATCTTGGGTTAAAACTTTATGGGCAGGTGTTTTGGTGTATCTAGAACTTAATCATATGGTCTAATTGGCTTAGATGTGTTTAGATCAAGGGGATCTAGGTTGCAGGTGTTTAGGTTGATGAAAATGCCCAAAATGGAATCTTCACATGATGAAAGGGTAAATGGAGGAATTTTGAGTTGAGATTTGCTAGTTAGGTATTTTGGGCGGTATTAAGTCTGATGGTGGTGTTTAATCTAAGGGTTGAGGTGTAGATGAGGTTGATCAAGGCCATCGGATTGAAATCGAGTAAGTTTAATGGTGGATCTGGGGGCTTTTGGACTGGAATTTGGGTTTTTTTGGATTTTTATATGTTTTAGAGATATTAGAAGGGTCTGATTGGAAATTTGAGAGGAATTAGGATTCATGCGACTGATCGAACAAAAATCGGGTGCTAACAATGTATAATTGCAATGTGTAGCTACATTTCTAATTTTAAACATAAGAGTAGGATTGTCATTGCTATAAAATTTATTATGGACAATTCACCATCATTGCAGGAATTTTACTTGTGGTTGTTAATGTATCACCATAGTTAGGGTAGCCTCATTTAACTCTTATTTTAATTTGCAAATGATTTTTACCATAATCACCAGGATTGTCTTCTTTCCTTTTGACTCTTTAGTTAATTTTTTCATTTTCAGGTACCTCCATGAGAAATGCTCCCCTTCCTCTGTCCACAAGAACATTAAGTCGGCCAATATCTTGCTTGATAGCGAACTTAATCCTCACCTCACAGATTGTGGTTTAGCTACCTTCCACCAGGTTATTTTGTGTTTAATTATAATAATAATAATAATAATAATAATAATAATAATAATAATAATAATAATAACGTTGGTCATAATGGGGGTTCATATGGAAGGGTGGATTTTGAATACATTTTCATATACCATACATATGATATTAGGAAATATATGGCTATAGTTCATGAAAGGTTTTTATAGAATTTAAAAGCCTATTTCTTAGGGGTTTGTTGCTACATGGAGGGATGATATGGAAAATCTAGAATGTTGATGTGTTGTTAAACCATCTGGATTGTGATATTTTATATATAATTACCTTCATGTATCTACTCAATACACTTTCACAAAGATTTGACAAAACAATACATTTCTACCAACCAAACTAAATATCTAGTTTTATATTTTTTATTTCTACATAAAAATGCAAGGGTGAAAGCATCAATATGATACACATTGTATCGAGCATATCAAATCGTTTTGATGTTTTTAATCTTTAATTAGGATAATATAAACCCCCCCTTATATGGAAAAAATTAAAAAAAAATAGTGTATTGATTATCCAAAGCACATAATACATACATTCATGCGTATCAGGTGTATCAATACTTTGAACCTTGATATAGTATCCCTTAATATCTTGATTTTTTCTTTAATTTTTCAATAACATACAAGAGAAACTCTTCTTTCTATATTGAAGTGGACAATTGCCATTAGTCTTCTTATATGGAAAAGTAGTTTTGGAGAAAGGCAAACCTTAGATTGCCTATCAACTAGAAAGATAAAGGATTGAAACTTTGAATCATGTTGATACATATTTTTGACAATTGACAACTAAGAATCAATCCATAGTGGGCCACATGATTCCCATGCCATCCTCCTTTCATGTAGCAATTTTCATCCTAATACAACAGCCACTAGTATGATTTGGAGAAATCTAAATACATGTCGTTAGGGGTAGGGATGAGTTGACATGGGTTGGAGGAAAAAGAGGGGAAGATAGATAAATCCACTAGTTAATGGATAATTTAGTAATCTTTTGAAGATTGGGCTAGACTAGAATGAAACCAAATCCTTTCCAATGAAACTTGCCAATAAAGATTATATTTTAAGTTAAATCATCTAGTTTTTTTAGGTCAATAATGAGAATGAACTAATTGTAACCATAGAAATTGATAGAAGCCACTTTGTAGATGGATTGGAGGAAAAAGAGGGGAACAGAGATAAATCCACTAATTAATGGATAATTCAGTAATCTTTTGAAGATTGGACTTGACTAAAATCAAACCCAATCCTTTCCAATGAAACTTGCCAATAAAGATGCTATTTTAAGTTAAATCATCTAGTTAAATTTTTTTTTGAGGGGATCAATAATGGGGATGAACTAATTGTAATCAATGAAATTGATAGAAGCCACTTTGTATTTTCAGGGGTCCTAGGTACAATCAACTTTGTGCATAAGGCTAAGTTTGGAAAGACTATAAATAAAAACATGTGTAGTACAAATGCATACAAAATAATACAAAGTACTAGAAGTGCTAGGTACGATCAATTTTGTACATAAGGCTCAGTTTGGAAGGAGTATAAATACAAATATGTATAGTGTAAATACATACAAAATATAAGGTTTTGCACTCAACAAATTTGCATTTGTACTCCTTCCAAACCGAGCCTAAGGCTCAATATAGAAAGACAACAAATACAAATATGTGCAATACAAATACATACAAAATGATACAAAATACAAGATTTTACCCTCTACATATTTGTATTTGTACTCCTAAATTAATCCTAACCACTTTTAACACGATTCAATAAATTTTTTAAAACTTATCAAATAAAAAACATTTGGTTAAAATGTTTTAATGGGGTCAACAATAGGGATGAACCAATTAGTTTGCAATCAAAGAATTTGATAGAAGTTTCAGTAGCTTCAGGGGTGCTATGCACAATCCACTTTGTACATTAGCAATTTTACAATGATTTAATAATTTTTTAAGGTATCAATAAAAAAGCATTTAGTTAAACTAGGAAATTCAAATCACCCCCTTTTGGTCTAATGTCTACTCCAATACAAAATATTTATTTTAAGAGTATGAGTTGATAAAGGATTAGGTCAAACATTTGTAGTTGATGGCTAGATAGTGTAGAAAACTAATAAATGACCGACACCAATTGTCCTATTATAATTTCATGCTAAACTAACCCTACCAATAGAAAATCATCACTTATTTTACTAGTTAAGTTTTTGATATTTCATCAGCGTACGAGCCAAAACCTTGGAGTTGGATATAATGCTCCAGAGTGCACAAAACCATCAGCATATACACTAAAGAGTGATGTCTATAGTTTTGGGGTTGTTATGTTGGAGCTATTGACAGGACGGGTACCTTTTGACAGGTGTTGTATATCTATTGACATATAGATTCCATAATCATTGCTCAACTCTGTCTTGGTCTTATCATTTTACTTATTGAATGTTCCAATATTCTATCTTATAGTTCTACTATTTTATTTTCTTCAGTTCAAAACCAAGAGTAGAACAATCTCTAGTTCGATGGGCAACACCAAAGCTTCATGACATTGATACATTGGACAAGATGGTGGACCCAGCTCTCTGTGGGTTGTATCCTCCCAAGTCATTATCTCGATTTGCTGATGTCATAGCTCTTTGTGTCCAGGTAAAAACTAAAACATTATTGAAAGATGATCATCTAATAATCATGTTATGCAAAAATTCCATCAATTTAAAAATGAAAATTTTCTAAAAACCTTAATCTTGAAATCATACATGGAGAGAAAATCTGATTTTTCTCCTTAGATCATTTGGGATTCTTGGACCAAGAAAGATTAAATCTCAAGAATGAATGTAATACCTAATTATGATTCTAAAAAAATTCAAAAATCGAAGTGGTGTTCAGACCTAAGCTTAGATCTTCCCAAAACACTGTAGCTAGTTGAAGATTGTGCAACTATATAATTGCAGTCTTAGAAAGCTTTTCTATAATTTAAAGTAGCAAAGATCCAACCATTTACACGAATTTGGGTGATATTTTTTACCCAAAATATGTTTAGATAAATTCTAGAAAAGTTGACTAACAGGTTTGGTCGATTGGGGTTCAAAACTCTAATTAAGATTGGTCTCACTAGGTTGGATCAAATTCAGCACTATAGGGAGAATTTGCATGGTCTGATTCCTTCATATATAACTCTATTTATAAAGCATAGAAGGATGAAAGATTCCTCTCTTTGTATATCTATGACTCTTATCATGATTAGGTTCAAGTTGGAGAGAATATTGCTTTCCTAATCATGCCCATAGATTTAAATCTATCTAGCTAGTTAAATTAGTCAAATCGTAATCATACATTATCGAGTTGATAAATTGACTTGGATTCTTATGTAAAACTTTTAATTAATCATTAGCACCTTAATAATTATGGAAATTAAAATTATTTTTCTAATTAGGAAATTCCATATTATATGGCATGGAACCCACAACTTAATGTGAGAACCAACATATCACATGCTTTAGGTAAGTAAGTGGGTTAACCACTTAATGTTTTAATTAGCCTAATAATCTAATTCAACCATAATTGTTATGAGCTTAAGTAATCAAGCCCATTTTCACTTAAACTACTTGGGGCCTTGTCATCTTAAAGGCCCAAGTATATTGGTTCAGCCCATTATATAATAATTAAGTCAACACAATCCAATTAATCACTTATAATTAATTTCTTTGTTAATAATACTTAACACCACATTAGGGGAAGAACTCTTTGTCTCTTTGTCTTTATGACATGGTATCCAATTTCTAACACTAATGAATCTTTTATTAAGGATTCAAATGATCCTAATATCGTAGATTCAGGAATCCAAAGATTAAGTTGTACAAAATAATATTTGCCTTAACATAGTAGTAGATCCTATCACATCAATTATTAGTTGGTATATCATTATTGAATATCTCAAACTATCCAAATATTTAACCCCACAAGGATCTCACTGGTTAGCATATCAAAAATAGACAAGTTTGATACTCAATTTGATATCAATATGAAGTTTTGAGATTAAAAGCAACACCCAATTCTAAGTTTGGTCTAATTTAATGTTTCTTATAGACACTCATCTTTATACCTTAGGTCACAACATAAGTAGTTGATACCTACTACTTCATTTCCTTGGGCAGTATGAGAATAACAACCTTGTCAAGATAAACTTCCCCAAATGTATCCATATTAGTTATGAAGATTTAAGTCCATATTATGATAACTATGTAGTCTTATACATAATATTAATATGAAATAAGGATATTTAGCAAAACAACCCAATGAACGTAAAACACGTATTATTTTCTTGATAATAAAAGTATATACAATAAATACATCAATTAGAGCTGAGGGCATACACATTGTCTAACAATTATCCCCCGAAATCGTGTCCATTATAGTATGGCAACCTTCATTCTTTTCTTGTATCATATATGATATATAACGTAGATTGAATAAAACACCTTCATTAACTTGACTTCTTTACAACCTTATTATCTCTTTGTTACTCATAAGAAATCCCTATAGATTATTATTCAACAACTTCTACATATCTCTTTGTTACTCAAAGCATGGGATTTGCTCCCTTAGAATATTAATGTAGTATTATTGGAATATCAATGCCTATAATTCTTTTGGTTCATTAACTTATATATTACTTTATATGGATATCAACTGATATGAGAATGTTCTATTCATTATAACAAAGAAAAATAAGTCTAGGTGGAAAAGAGTGGGTAAGGACATCACATCAATTAATAGTTTTCATATTCATGTTTTGCATATTGAAGGTAGAATAGTAGTGTCAAGGATCCTGATGTAGATGCAATATCAAAATCACTATTATTTATGCTTATATGTAATTATTATTTGTTTATTTTTTAGTTATCATTTATTTTGTAGTCGGAGCCCGAATTTCGTCCACCGATGTCAGAGGTGGTTCAGTCACTTATGCGAATTGAGCTCTCAAGTATGAACAAAAGAGGAGAAGATATTGGTGCTTTTTCGTCAGATGAATGAGGAAAGCCACATAGGTTATTGTTGAAAAAGTATACTCCGTTTGGTTATTTGATATACTTGCTAGCATTTGAAAAGTGATTTTTTGTTTTTTTGTTTTAAATTTTGTTCCTTCACTCCCCCCCACCCCCACTTTTGGGGGTCTTATATCTGTTAGGATGCTACTGTTGTTCGTAAGAAAAACAGAAATTTAGAGATACTCTTAAGTGTAAATTTTATCATCATTTACTTTTTTTTTAAATGTTAGAAAATAGTTTCATTACATTTTAGTTCTCGGGTTTACTAATGTAACATTTCTTAATGCATTTGTGGCTTGCATATAATATGACAAATTTTCTAATATATGTACACATACACCATTAAAAAATAACATTTACCCTATGTCATGGAAATTACAAGTCCCCATATAGTAAGGAACTTTTTCTTTTTCTTTTTATTTATTTAGTTTTTTATGATCACATATAGTAATGAAATTGGGATATGGTTCTATTGAGTTTACTTACAAAACTTCATTAGGATTGTCTTCTCTCTTAAGACAAATATGGTTCAGTATTAAATCTTTTTCCAGATTTGTAGTAATACATTAATGTGAGCATCGAAAAACTGTCCACTTGGAGTCGCCACCAAAAATTAGATTAAACATCATTTTAATTGAATAGTGACTCCAAAACACCAAGGCACGACTAAACCAGTTAGGTAGAACTCAAAAGGGAGAAGGAAGGGATTGGGCACCCCTCTCCCATGTCCATTAGGTGGGGCTTACATAGGGGTTCGAAGACTAAACACAAGAAGGCTCAAAAGAAGTAATCCCTAACAAACAAAAGTTATTCAACAACCTAAGAAAAGCATTTTGATAATTGACAAAGGAGAGAAAGAAACAAAATGATAATTGTTTAATAATTTTAAGAAGAGAATGAGTCACTAATCTAAAGAAAAGAGTGTTCACAAGAATTAGTAGTTGACATAAATGAAGAATTATCTAATAATCTAATCTAAGGTCATAATTACTAAATACAAAAATGGGATTATTAAACAACATGAGAGGATTCACCTAAACCAATAGGAATGAATTATAACTAATATGATAAATATTTTCTTTTTATGATAACAAAGAAGATAATGATCAACTAATTGCTAATACACAATTTTTAGCCGTAGAGAATCTGTCATTTTGATGATTATTTGACATGCTGAAATAGTTAGGAAGTAGATCCAACACAATTGATTAATAATAACGAAGAAACAAAATAAGATAAAAAAAAAAGGGCGCCCAAAGAGAAAGAAATTAAATGAAACCTCAGCACATAGCTAATGGGATTTGTACTACAAGGAATAATGAAAACCAGAAACCACCATAAGCTATGCTAATTACGAGAGAGTTATCAAAAAAACACATCATGAGACAACCCAGCACCGATCTACTACAACACCAAACCACGCTTTACCAAAGAGATTGCGACAAATCAAAACCATAAATGAAAGTTTAGAAATAAATTAATTAAAAAAACAGACATAACCGAAAAAATTTTGGATAGGCATTAAAGCCATTTATGTGGCGAGACTGTTAAACCAAATATTGCCTTGGATTTTTTATTTGCTATGGAAGAAGCTGCACCTATCGAACTGAACTCGATGAATTGTAGTCATACAAACAGTGATGGATGAGTCACGTTCAGAAAAGGAGTTCAGGAGCTAACTGGTGATTTTAGGGGCTAACTCGTGAGTTCAGGAGTTCAAGGATGCATGGCAGAATCTTCACACTCTTCACCTTTTTCAGCAACGAATTAAAGTTTCGGCCCTATATATGTTGGAGAGCTAAAAACGGGGGTGACGAGCTGGGTGCGTCATTGACTTCAAGCCCCACGACAAACTCTCTGCTACCCTTACGATTCTAATGGTGAGTTTGGAGGACTGTCAGACAAACAATACCTTTCGGCCTTAGTTACAGGCAAAGACACTAGAACCGGGGTGCCGCCTGTGGGGTTTCATATTGGGAAAAGGATGTGCCAACAAGAAACGGGTGTGGCCAGGAAGATGGATCTAAATAGGAAAGGGCCGATGGAGCGGGGTGAGAGCATTGGGAATGGAGATGCAACAGTGGTGTGTCATGACATCTGTTCTATGGAGGGGGAGGAAATAGGGGGAACCGTAAGCAATGGAGAGAGGGTACAAGACAATGAACTGAGGAGGCCCTGTTGCAATGGTGGAGAGAAGAACATGGGAGGTGGTTGCCATGAAGAGAAAAAAAAGATAAGGTGATGGTGGAGAAAAATAGAGAGAGAGATTACGGTAGGGAGAGGAGTTGGAATGATGAGGTGGTGCTCTGTTTTTTTCAATTTGTTGCAATGACAAGAAATGGAGGGGGCTTTACCAGTTCGGTGAGGAAGAAAATGAAACAGAAGATATCAGGGACGACAATGGTGGAATGAGAGGTAGAATACGGTGAATGGTGTATTTTTTTTCTTGTTGGTGGTGAGAGACAAGGGAACGAAGGGAGGAAATAGAGAATGAAAGAGAGGTCGGAGGAGAGGATATCGCCGCTGTCAAGAGGTTGAAGAAGATCAATAAAAAAACGCCCCCTTGTCACGGGGTTAGTCGCTGGGGCCCCGTGGAGCACTCGAATGTGACGAGTAAGCCTATGTAATAAGCAACAACACAAGAAAATGCAACAAGATGGCACATGAATTAGTCAAAAAGCCTACTTGTATTGCATTAACGGATGGCAAGCACACGCACACAGTTTAGTGTCAAGGGGATCTCGTGCTTAACCTTTACACGCTTGTGACTCACTCGACTACCTACCTCCCCTCAAAAAGTACGTTAAGTTTTTGGGGGAGTGACATAAAGATACATCAAAATGATGAAAAATCATACTAGGTAATTACAAGAATGCCATTGGAAATCCCCCATACAAAAATACATGCATAGCCCACCCAAGACACACACTTGGACACTGGAGTGGTGGTTGTAGGCACGATAGATGGCACTTGATGGTGCGGCAAAGAGAACACTTGTGACAGTCTCCCCCACTCAATTCAATGTTCGTCTTCGAAGACTAGCTTCTGCTCAAGGCTTAGATCTACTGTTGATGAATGAGGGTTCTTCAACTGCTCCACGAACTTTATCTCTTCCAAGGCCCGGGCATGATGATGGGTGGAAGTCTTTAGCGTGTTCTGGATGGTGGGAAAACCTATGGCTAGTCCCTACGTTAAGTCCTTGCCTGGCTGCTTCAATGTAGGATTTTGGATGTTCTGCTTTGGTGTTAGGAAGGTTTGTGGCCAGGGCTAGGTCAAAATGAAGGTTTGGATTTTTTGGGTATTGTTCCCCCTGATGATTTCTTTCCCAAGGGTTGCTCCTCACAAAGCTCCTATGAGGGTTGGTTTGATCATTGTGGTGGTAGACAAGGTACCTAAGTGGATTCGGTGGTAATCGCTCTCCCTGATGATGGTCATAGTGGAATTGGTTGTGGCTGGAGACGGCCTTGGGTCTTCCAAGAGTCTTCTATGTTGTCGACTCATAGCGTTGACGTTGGTGCCATTGTTGATGTTGATGTTGGCACTGGTGCTGCTGCTACCATTGGTATTGGCGCTGGTGCTGATGTTGGAATGGCTTTGGGGGAGACTTCTTCCTGGTAATGACTTCCCAACCCATCCTAGTGCTTATGTGAGATGATTGTGACGGGGTCTTCCTTGTAGGCACGGTGCTAGCTTCGTGGGTATCTGCTAACTGATAGTATTGCAGGGCCAAAAGTTGCTTCCCATGTACCTTCAAGGTTGTTGTCACTGGAATCATGCAAGGAGAACACTCGTCCAAGATGTGCAAACTGTCTATGTGTAGCATAAGAGCTGCTTCCGCCTATGCGAGAAACTCCATTCCCAAGACAACCTGCAAATCATCCAAAGGTACTACAAATAGATTGATGGCTCATTTCCATGACCCAACATGGAGATCTACCCCACGAGCCATGCCTTCTACTGCCTTGGCCCCTTAGTTGACAGCCTTGATCCACCCTGTCTGTTTGGTGCTGGCAAGCCAAGTCGCTTTGCCTCCGCAAGCGAGATGAAGTTATGGGTGGCCCCAATGTCCACCAAGGCTTGGGTCGGCCTCCCGCCGAGGGTGATGTCTACATATTTCAGCC